TCAAATTGCTCATGATCTATTATACTGTCATTTGTAATTAGAAATCAATACTTTAAATGGAGGATTAAATTTTTTTTAAAAAACCAACTCAAACTATATCCTATCATGACATATAACACATCGGTAGACTCGTATTAAAACAATAAGACAGATAATAAGAATAAATTGCGCACGTCTTTTCTTTGTATACATAATACGGCTCTATGTCTACGTAATCTTTGTCGTGATATTGCCATGTGACATTTTTACCATGCACCTTCCACGTCGCCACAGAACCCATCTGACACATTCGGCATATCTAAAAATACTCCTGATTTGTTAACAGGTTCATTTTTAAGATTTTTGTAGACCTTGTAAACGTACCTTTGTAGCTCATTACAACTAAAGTCATGCACCTAAAGTAAAGACACATCATAAATATACATAACTCTTAAGTAACTAAGCAAGTAAAACCACGATGTTGGGTAAAACTCAGCAAAGTAATTTATCAGCCTACAATATAAAGTGTAACATTAAAAAGACGATTCAATGTTTTTAATTAAATGCCAGATAATTCACAGTGTTATATTACATCCAAACGTATGTTGTCCTAAATGAATGCAAATGGTGCACAGAATGGAATTTAGATCTGTAATGTGCTGATGTGCCAATTGTCTTTTATATGCGGATGATGATAATATTTAGAATGTCTTAGAAAAAAATTCACAAAAATCCCCATGTAGAGTTTTCGCCAAAAATGTCGATGAGGACGTTCTAAAAACAATGATCATTTACATAAATAATTTCTCTCAAACTATATCTAAAAACAAATTAATTTGATTTAGCAAATGCTCATATTAGGCTAGAAACACTTAATTTTGATTATCAAAATCTTATGTAAAATACTACGACAAAAACATGACAAGTATGTGCGTCATAGATTTGTTTCTAAAACCATCTAAGTTCAAAATGCCATAAAAATATATCTACAAATATTAACGTGAAGTAGTGGCCCAGTCGCCAAGTGGGATAAAGCGCTCACCATTACGGGTCACAGCCATCTTACCTCTATCTGTGTGTGGTTCGAGTCTCAGGCACGGATAACGTGGGTAAGTTGAGAAAACATACCAGTAGCTTCTCTTACGTCAGTCGTTCTTCCCGTGGTTTTCCAGGATTCTTCATACACGATTAATACTGGCCTCCATGTATAGCCTATATCGTGCTGAAATGGCGTCAAGTCCTACAACAACAACAACATCTTAACGTCAATTGCAACATACAATCATAGACAAAAGTAAGTAATATGACTATTTCTTTAAGAAATAACCTAACCTGAAAATCATTACGAAAGTTACGTACACGATAGAAATGCATGTAACATATTGACACATACACTATAATTTATAAGTCTTCACTTTCCATGTGTATACTTAACTCCAATGCCCAGTGTCTGCCTTCTTAGCTCTAAACTCAGCCACAAAATCATAAAGCCCATATACAATGGCTAATCAACCTCCCCCTTGCATCCAAACAAACTTCAAACAATACTACCACAGTCTTGATATCTAGCCATGACAATTCTACGCCTTCATTTTTGGATCAACAAATTCAATCATCTTTGCGCTTTTTCATATGTAAAGAAAATTGCAAGGGCTATTAGTATTGAAAATGGGGTTATATATATATATATATATATATATATATATATATATATATATATATATATATATATATATATATATATATATATATATATATATATATATATATATAGTTACGTGTATGTAATTAAGTTGCTTGTATGTTAGTTTTAAAATGCTTAAAATACTTTTTTTATTTCATTTCTGTTTCATTTGACTTTTTTGTTGAGAATATATTTATCGGATATGAATTGTTTCCAGTAATTAGATATTTTTAAATAAATGTTACTTCTCTAAGACGCAGAACGTGTTACATGATAATTATTGTTAGTTACCCTTGTCTTGGCAGTTAAGATAATTGGTCAGTATCAGGTCTGTACCTTCCTAGCATGATTAACATGTGTAAACAACGCTATCTAATTACTGGTTCTTAAGTGGGAATACACAGGCATACGTGCTAGATTTCTTGCAGTAAGAGACCACGTGGCCAATCTCGCGTCACTAGAAATTATGTTTTGGGGGTTTAAATTCGCATTCCTAATATTCTTCAGGGAAAGTCGTTTGAACATCTTGAAGGGACAAGATGTTATTTTTATTGTTGCGAGATTGTTTTTCATCTGATAATTTTGGATTTAATAATTTATTCTCCTATTGACTTATTTTATAAAATGTTCTGAAAGGCACTCGTGGAAATTTTTTCTGGAATTATTCGGAAATAAAAACTGAGGTTCAAATGAAGAATTGTTGACATTTGTACATTGGACCACATCTGACGTTATCGCCTTCTGTATTTGTATGTCGTCGAGATTCGAACCTGACTTCTAGAGGAACTATTTAGTGATAAAACGTGTGTTTTCATTCTTAGGATCAAAGTTTCGATTATATTCACAAACTGTAAGTCCTATTTACTTAATTTTTACATTGGGTTTTTTTTTGGAAAAAAAAACTATTTTATTAAAACATCCTAAGCTTGTTGACTTTACTCTTATCTTCTGTTACATTAGTACTAACCTACACATAACTATAACTATAACTATATATATATATATATATATATATATATATATATATATATATATATATATATATATATATATATATAAAGAGAGAGAAAGAGAGAGAGGAGATAGAGAGACTAACAGACAGTCAGACAGACAGACAGACAAAGACAGACAGACAGACAGACAGGCAGACAGACAGAGGATAAGTATTGGAATTGCTTAAGGGCACCTAATTACCATTTAACATTCCCAGGAAATTGGATGTTTGTGGCAGCCAACTCGATCTGATCTGTGTATGAGATCGAATTGTTCTGGTTTGTTTAAACGGCACCTTTTAACAGAGCATCATCTCTATCATGCTGAGTGTCTTTTCTAAGGATACATGGAGTCAGCCGACATTATCTAGCCTGGACAGGTATCGAAAAAGCGACCATAGAACTAAAAGCAGAATGCACTGTGTCTATCTGATCAGGTTTAAAAAGGAAACCATGTGTTACACGATTAAACACTCAACCAGCTGAGATACTGCGATTCCCAACTAGGAAGAAGTTAATGACATGTAAAACAATTTCCTAATCATTTATCGAAACCTACACTCCATAATTACAGATGGATTTAAGATTAATATTTTTCTAGTTATTAAAAAGCGAAGAGCAAACAAAAGAACAGAGCATAGAGGTAAAGGAGAATTGTGTAAGCTCAAGGAAACAAATATAACCAAATGTTTTCTTTCTAACCTACTGTCTACAATTTCCTCTTTAAAATGTTCAATTTAATTACGGTTAATAATTTTAATGTAAGTATTTGAGTTTCAAATTTTCAACTCTTTTGTTCCACACACATTGTCATTATTTGAGTAATCTCAACTGGTGCCTTTAATTTCTGTACTAAATTATGGCCACCACAAGTAGATTAATTGTCAAATTGTTTTATTTAAAAATGAACAGTAAAGTAATATCAGCACAATATTTCACTCTATTTTCCTGACTATACGTGCAAATTGTTTAAACATAACAGAATAATATTTCTATCTGTTTATGTAATTTACAAACATGTCAATTAACATTCAGATGGATATAATATGGCATGGTTAAAATATATGTGATGACAAAGATCCGAATGATGCATGCGATCATTAAGACCATTGGATTCTGGTGAGAAAAGCCGCTGACTTTTCCTTCTATTGATAGGTTGCCAATCAAGGTCATACTGAAATACCATTGTCTTCATGGTTATGTACGATATATTAGCTTTCTTACCGCTGGAATGTCCCGACAATTTGGCAATAGTAACATTTGCGTAAGCTAATGTTTGAAGCAATTCATGAGTTTGTTTCGTGAAAATGATGTAAAAATAACAATAAGAAATATACGTGTAGGAATAGGTTCATTGCATAAACTTTCTTGAATATTGATTCATTATTCATCTTTTCATTTGGATTTATTTCATGCACGCGTAGGATTATATTCGCCGCAGTTATACTAAACAGTAAAGTATTAATAAGATTATTTTCATGTCCCATTGGAAATTTACAATATTATTTCGATCCCATCGATCATTTACATTGACTTATGGAGAAGAGTGCAAATAGCGGTCATACATCATTTTTATTGATGATGATCCAACTAAGTTGCCAAAAAGCACCTGAATATCACAAAATCGGGGTAAAAATTTGCAGAAAGGAACTACTATTAGTTGTAAATTGTGTTTTCGAAAAATCATTGCGTCGTTTTCTCCTTCAATTTACTTAAATATATAATCCTATTTCAGTTAAGATCGATCTTGTCTGTCTTCTAAATGGCGAAAATAACTCTACCTGCTAAAATCGTATATATGAGTAAATTGCAAAGCATTTTTGTTTACTCATTCATAGCATATAATATATATGAACTAATTCTTAGCAAGTTTTAAGTACTGTCTAAAATGCTTTCAATGCACTTTTCCAATTATAATCTTTATGTGCTTTCACCTTGCTGTTTTTCATGGCATACTATATATTGTCATATGATGAATTCTATACCTTAAAATTATAATTATTTAAATTCTGCCATAATATATTATCATATTCGTCGCAAAAGAGTATAGAGCTATCCTTTACGCGGAACAGGTGATTTGAAAATCGTTCTTATCTGTTCATACAAGCAACGTTTCGAACACTATAAAAATGTGCATCTTCAAGGAGATTATCGCTGGATCAATCGAAATATATAATTTATTTCACAGAAACAGTTTTATGGATGGAGTGTAAATGGCAGTTCACACAACGACAGAAACACTGTTTAGATATAATCCAAGCTTGGCTGGCACAATTAGTTATTGCCATCAGTTTTCAAATAAGTATAAATTAGAATACGACTGGACTAATAACAATTTGCGGACCTCTCTGGTGGCCTACGTGGCAGAGCGTTTGCCTCGGATGCGGGAGGTCGTGGGTTCCATCCCCGTCTGAGTGATAAAAAAGATTTATAAAAATGATACTAACAGCTGCCTCGCTTGGCGCTCAGCATTAAGAGGTTAGTGTTTAGGACTGGTCGGTCTGGTGTCAGAACAATGTGACTGGGTGGGACATCATGCTACATGTCTGCGGAATGATGCCCCAGTGCTATATATCACTATAAACTTCTACACTACATACATCGTGGCAATGTGACTGAATAATTGTTAACGCTACGTTAAAAATCCAAATAACGAATCAAGTTCAGAATACTTTATGTGAACATGAATAACTTAGTTCGTGAACTTATATAAGTTAATATATTTCTTACGCAAGAACCTTTTAGACAATAATATATACAGATACTGTGAGAAATGACAGCACTTATACTTTTTTATATAAAGTCGAAAGTCACACCAATATTTCTTTAGGTCCAATCAAAACTGTCAATGAAATTAAACATATGTTTTCCTTCTGAGAATCGTTCTGGGTATGAGACCTTATCTTCCTGTTGTAACGTAAAGTTATTAGTTAATATGCAAAATTTAGAACAAGATCAGTTTAGCAACAATTACTACAATTATCTTATCAGACCCAGATACACAATGCATCGTAAAAGAGAGAACAAAAATCAATAGTGATTGGATCTAGGGAATTATCGCAATTTTAATCAATATAATCATGAAGAATATTCTCATCTCTAAGAACATAAAATCACGGCGTGTATCGTCGCTGGTTCTGCTGTTCTCGTTGCCTATTTCAACGGCCTTACTGATATTTCTGTACATATGATCATCTAGGAAGTGAATAATAAACGACAGAGTGCAATGCCTTGGACCAGGTGAATACTAGCAGTAGTTATTTTCTGCAACCATCAACACTAATTTTATTTCATATTTTGTCCACCAAATACCTTTTCAGTATTAATCGGAACAAAACTGACAAATCGAACATAAGGATGCGTATAATTAGGAGAATGAATACTTATATTTTTATTATCTTTGTAAGTGCTTCTTGCTCATATTATTCTTGGAATGATTGTTTATATCAAAACATACAGAGAGTTTAGTGTATAAGATTACACAAGCATTTCGAGATTAATCTATTGCACTGACGGGCAAGCCATTTCTGTGCTAGAAGACAATAATAGGAGTAAAGGAAATTTTCATACGGTGAACAGGAAAATATGGTTTACGTATTCTTAGATGCAAACAATTTTCACATACCAGTGCCCAGCACTTAATCCAGGAGTACGTTTCCTCCCGAGGGGGCAAAGAATGGGTTTGTGTGCTGACTCTTTCTTTAGCATAGCGGTTTTTTATCGTGTCCTCGACCCATCAGTTCTCCAAATACGTTTTATCCAGTTTCTGGCGACTTCAGGACTGATTAATTTATTACTTTTAATTAAAAGTGTTATATTCTCTTTTCTGGCAAACACGAAAAGCCTTTAAAATATTGCTTTTTCCCAGTTACGTTTATCAACTAATGATATCAGCGAAATTGGCAATGATTTTCAACCAATGTGACACATTGCAGCTCGTAATAATAGTCCTAAATCATATAGGATATGGACTCCGCCAAGAAATATCCTACTTGGATCAATACGTTAACCTTTATCATACCTTCCTTCAAACCACGTATCAGTATATTTTGACTGCAATAACAAAAGGATAACTTTCTCAATCCAATATGCAGTTCACCAAACAGCTATCAAAATATTATAACTGCAATAGCCAAAGGATAACTTGCTCAATCAAGTACGTATTTTACCAAAGAACTATCATAAAGTGAGTTGTCATTTATAATTCGATTTATTTTTTAACGCCCATAACTCCTTTTTCTATATAAATGTGTATATTGCAACTATTTGGCGCTAAGAAAATTCTTCCCGTCCACTGACCAAAATTATAAGATGTTTTCTAAAAGCCAAGTTAATCAGCCATCAGCCCGACCAAAGTAAACAAATATTACTGTCATTCATTTCTGTATAATGAATGTGAATCACACTATTATTGTATAACGTAACTAAGGGTTAGGATCCTCGTTACCAACCATTATTTAATATTTCATTGGAAGCTTGTTGCAATCAGGTAAGACATTAAGATGATTATTCAGTCACAGTTTGTATTGAATGTTAAGACTAAGATAAAACCTTCTTCAAATAACAGCTCCAAAGCGAGTTAGCTGAGTATCTTAACATATTATTTACATGCGGCTTACACATTTAATAGATAATGTAAATAAAACCTTAGTTCACATCCAGAAATTGTTGTAAACGTCGAAAATTAGTTCATATTCAGAGATAGCTGTGCACGTCATACGTAGAGTTCATCATTAGAGTATATAAGGGATCTCAAACACAAACAACCCAGAGGTCCATACATGTCCTAAAGACGCACCATTTTGATTTTCTCACGACATCCTTTGATGCTAATCAATTTGCCTGACCTGACACGGCTTGGTGGCGCCAGGTATTTGTGGCCCCTACACTATCTCTGTTTTATTTCAAAAACTGAACTATCATCATTTGAGTATTCAGGTTGTGTATGTATCCGTCCTTTTAAGATAATGATGACAACTGCAAAAATCCTTTTACATTTTATATTATTTCAGAGAGAACAACGAAGTTCAGTGCTTATATATATATATATATATATATATATATATATATATATATATATATATATATATATATATATATATATATATACATATATATATATATATATATATATATATATATATATATATATATATATATATATATATATATATATATATATATATGTATATATATATATATATATATATATATATATATATATATATATATATATGTGTGTGTGTGTGTGTGTGTAAGTATGTATGTATGTATGTAAAAGTGAAAAGGGACCAACACTGGACAAGTGAAAAGGGACCAACACTGGACAGAATATTATGTATGTGTATATGTATGTATGTATGTATGTATGTATGTATGTATGTATGTATGTATGTATGTATGTATGTATGTATGTATGTATGTATGTATGTATGTATGTATGTATGTATGTATGTATGTATGTATGTATGTATGTATGTATGTATGTTAAGAGTGTTTAAAGCCATAACAGAGAATAACATATCTTTATTGCCAAATCATATATAATAATAGTAATACATTTACATTAGTCATAATGATTGCTTAATTCATTGACTGATTGATTGACTGAATGAATGATGGACTTCATATATGAAATAAAGCAACATAAAGGACAAAATGGAAATGTGAAAAGGGACCAACACCGGACAGAATATTCCCATTGTACTGTAATTTCTACTTAATGTCCCTGGAGTGTCAATGCCCTTACATTTGTATCTTAATTGATTGAACAGGATATTTCTTTTTTGCCAATATAATATTTCAAAGTCAGTCAGATAATAAACTGATACAAAGTCGTACGCCGACTTAGACATAGAATTTGTTAGAAGTCATATAAATCCAGCCAGAATTTCATGACTTTGTTCGCTTACGATCTGGCAGAATTATTTAATTTCCTACTTGAATGAAGACATGTTCAGCATGATCCACTATTTAATTGGATTGTACATATGAATTCCAATTCCAACATGGTCACAAAAAGTCTGTATCGCCATCGTATATCTTGATTGTATAGGAGATTTTCTTGTGCATTCACTTAGAACCGTTTTGCTCTTTAACTACATTTTGGCCAGCTAAATTTTGATTTCTATCTGATCTGTTTTAATTTTGTTTGAAAAAGGATATGTGCTATAGACAGAGCGTTTCGTTTTAAACAAACTTTGCCAAATAAATAAAACTTAGATAATGTGGTTATAAAAGGGAAAACTTCATGTCATGCGTAAGGCATACATTCTTTGCCAATTTTCAATCAGTATTACGAGGATACGCATTATGTGCCCTAGGATATATGATCTATGCTGCACTATGACAGATGATATAAATCAGTTGTAATACCTTTCATTATACATGGCAAAACAATGACTTCCGAAAGCATACTTATCGCAAACACTAAAGAGCAGATGGTACAAGAGTATCTCCAATATTTTTACACCTCAAGCAAAGGAAAAGCGTTTTGTGTATGTTTAATTCGCCTTGCTAACGGATTATCGCGTCCTTTTTGAGCTAAACAAAATGAGGTCATTTTTTTATCGTTTCTTCTGACTGTAAATCCCTCCCTAAATAGGAGTCAGCCATATGGGTTCTCCTTTTTACATTTAGCTCGGTCGCCAGTATCTTTTGCGATGAACCTGAATTTATTCAGAACCTGCTGTACTGCATTAATAGGTCTTGTCGTCTGCTACCATCGTTTCCGCTTCACATACACTTCCCCCTTCATGCAGCTGTTTTATTCCATCCATAGCACCGGAGTTCGGTTTCTAGAACCTTATTTGTGTGCTGGCTACTCGAATTATTTGGTGGATATCTTTTTTTTACCCTCTTCAAGTCAGATCTCAATAACGAAAAGTAGCATTCAGATTTCTGTTCTTTCATAGCTTTTATCACATGCCTCAATACATTTCATTTCCTTTCTCTGCATGTCACCAATGTCGGCTAAAATGATTCGCTGAATTAAAATTAAATAGTTATATTTTCAGAAACCCTAAAAAATTATATCACTAGTCCATTTTTGTGATTTGGGATTGATTCCGTGATCGTCGTTCTTTTAATTATAACACACCTGTTTAGATATTTAAATAGCAAGCTAGTTATAATGTAACTATTTCCTGTTATTCAGTCAACAGTCTATAACATGCAAATGTAATCATTTCTTGTTATTGAGATAACAGTCTAGAAAATAAATGTTATAATTTCCTGTTATTCAATCAACAGCCTATAACATGCAAATGTGATCATTTCTTGTTATTCAATCATCAGTCTATAACATGTAAATGTATTGTTCTGATGAATTACTTTTTCTCAGCTGATAATAAGCGGTATAGTTTAATTAGTCAGTGATTAGACAATATATGTTAAAACTACAGTTCTCGGATTTAACAT